ACTCTTGAGACTTGAGTTTAGTTTTTTAGTTCAAGGGAAAAGAGGAGAAACATAAACCAAACCTAGCAAGAGAAATGGCTCACATTAATGCAATTGGAAGTAAAGGCAAAATCATAATGAATACCATTGAAACTTAGAAGATAATAGCTACTATGAAATGTTGTATGCCAACAAGTTGGAAAATCTTGAAGAAATGAGCAAACTCTTACAAATTACCAGAACTAAATCAAGGAGACAAAAAAAGTTCTGAAAAATCCAATAAGAAGCATTGAAATTAAAGCAGTAATAATAAGCATACCAATTAAGAAAAGCCTAGGACCTAATGGATTCACTGCTAAATTCCTCAAGACCTTTAATGACATTAAAATACTAGTCTTCCTCAAACTCTTGAATGAAATTGAAAGGGATGGAGTGCTTCCAAACTCATTTCTGGAAGCTAGTATCACTCTCATCCCAAAACCAGAGGTAGATACAACTAAAAATGAAAACTACAGACCAGTCTCCTTAATGAACATAATCCTTAATAAAAAAATCCTTAATATCCTAATAATCCAAAAAATCCTTAACAAGGTACTGGTGAACAATGCAACAAATCATCAAAAGGATCATACATTCTGACCATGTAGGTTTTATCTTGGGGTTTGCAAGAATGTTTCAACGTATGAAGATCAATAAATGTAATATACCACATAAACAAAAGTAAGGATTAAAAACTACATGGTTATACCAATAGATGCAGAAAAAGCATTTGACAGAGTTCACCTGTTCCTGATAAAGACCCAATAGATATAGAACTTACCTGAGTCTGATAAAAGCCATTTATGACCAACCTACAAACATATTGAAAGGAGAGAAACTGAAAGCTTTCCTTCTGAAATCAGGAACAGGGCAAAAGTGCATATTGTTATCATTTCTGTTCAACACAGTTCTCAAAATGTTAGCCAGAATAACCAGGTAAGAGAAAAAAAATAAAAAGGATATATATGTTAGATTATCATTATTTGCAGATGGCATGATTCTCCACTTACAAGACCAAATAAATAAAAATAAAACTCCTAGAATAAGCAAATTCAACAATGTATCAGGTTACAAAATCAACAGACAAAAATCATTAGTGTTCCTGTACACCAATAGTGAATTCACTGAGAAAGAAATTAGGAAATGCTGCTATTCACAATAGCATAAAAAAATTAAATACCTAAGAATTAACCAAGGAAATGAAGACCCCCTACAAAGAAAACTATGGTACTTTGAAAAAGGAGATCCCAGAGGACATCAGAAAGTAGAAAGCTATCACCTATCCCTAATAGAACCAATATCAAAATATCTGTTCTTACAAAATTGGTGTATAGATTTGTTTCAGTTTCAATCAGAACATCTACAGTGTTCCTCACTGAACTAGAGGAAAACCCTAAAATTCCTATGGAACTAGAAGAGACCCTGAATAGCAAAAGCAGTTCTTGGCAACAAGAGCAGAGCAGGAGTCCTCACAATACCTGACTTCAAGTTATACTACAAAGCTACAGTAACAAAAACAGCACAGTATTTGCACAAAAACAGACATGAATCAATGGAATAAACAGAGGATGCAGAAACAATCCCATACATATTTGGCTATTACATCTTTTTTGGGGGGGGCGGGTACTAGGGATTGAACTTGGGTCCTTGCGCTTGCAAGGCAGGCCACCGAACCGCTGAGCTAAATCTCCAGCCCATGGCTATTACATCTTTGATAAAGGAGTCACAAAAAAATTTGCTGGAGGAAAGATAGCTGGCCAGTTGTGCTGGGAAAACTGGCTATACAGAAGGTTGAAGCTGGACCTATGTCTCCTACTACATAAATTAAAATTAAAATGGATCAAAGATCTATTAAAAATATTGAACCTACTGAAAGATAAAAATAGGTAAAACTCTTGAAGACATTGAGGTAGGTAAGGACTTTCTGAATGGAACTCAATTTGCATGATAAATAACAATCAACAAGGGATTACATCAAATTAAAAAGCTTTTACACAGCAAAGAAAACAACCAACATAGTGAAGGGACAAGCCATAGAATGAAAGAAAAATCATTGCCAGCTATTCCTCAAATAAAGAATTAATAGCTAAAATATGCAAAAGAACTAAAAAAAAAAATTAGACACCTCCCAAAATAAAAGACCCAATCAAGAAATAGGCAAGTGAAATGAACAGACACATCTCAAAAGAGAATTAAAAATGGCTGATAAACATGAAAAAACTGTTTACTATTTCTGATCATTAGAGAAATGCAAATTTAAAATATTTAGATTTCATTTTACACCAAAAAATAAAAAAGGACAATCTTCAGAAAATCAAATAATAAGAAACTTTGACATGGCTGTGGTGAAAAAGTAACTCTTCTACATTGTTAATTGGAATGTAAACTAGTAAAACTATTATGGAAATCCATATGAAGACTTCTCAAAATACTAAAACTAGAAATTCCATTTGACCCAGCTATTTTACTTCCAGCTATTTCTCCCTAAAAGAGCTAAAGCTAGAGATATATGTACACCAGTGTTTATAGCAGCACAATTTATAATAGCTAAATCCTGGAAGCAGCCTGCATTTCCTTTAAAAGACAAATGGATAAAGAAAGTGTTTATATATAATTGAATATTTTTCAGCTATAAAGAAGGAAAAGTGTAAGACATTTAATTAATTCAAAGTACAAATAAAGAACAAAATAAACTGATAAGAAAAAGATTGACCTTTTGCAGATGGGAAGAGAACAGTGTCAAGGCAGGAGAGGGAGAAAGAAAAGAGAACATAAAAAGGTGTAAGATGCATCATATATATGTACCTACTACTCTCAATGAATGTAACCGTGTACGTTTGAAACATGAACTAATAATAATAATGAAAATGGAGAAAGATCTGGGGATAGAGGGAGGAAGGTGGGTGGGATTAGAAAAGGAAATTAAAAAAAATCAAGATATGTTCAGTACATGTACCTATTCCCTAAGATTAAACATCACGTACTTTAAACATGTACAAATAAAAGCAAAAGAGCACTGATCTTTGAATTTTACAGGACTAGTTCTGCATTTTCTAATTATATAACCTTGAATAACTTCTAAACCTTTCTAAGTCTCTCATTCCTCATCTGTAAAATGAAGATTATGATAATTTCTTTATATGGTTAATGTGAATAGTAAAATAGCCTATTTACAATTTAAGTAAGCAGTAATAAGTGGTAGCTAAATAATGTTATTTTTCCACACTGTCATTAAATGCTCACATATTTTAATTTAATTGATGTTCCCCACATTGCTGTGAGGTAAGCAAAATGGATTACCCCATTACATAAATGAGGGAAGATTGGGAATGGTTAAGGCCTTGCTTAAAAGTTACTGGCCTGTAAGTAAATCCATACTTAACCATCTATACTTAACCCAAGCAATCTATTTTCAAATGCAGGATTTTTCTATCATAACACTCTCATTAAAGAATCTGTCTGACTCTTTTTAGTTAGATAGATTCCCCCTGACTATGGGGAAGTGTTTACTTAGTTTTGTGTGACCCAATAGGGGTAGCACTGTTCTGACAGACTCGAGTGAGATAAATTGAGAACCATCAGAGTTTTTTTTTTCAGCTTTAATTGAGTTTTTTGGTACATTTTAGGGATACAGTAAAGTTACATTCATTGTTGGGATCTTGTACCTCTACATGACAAGTCTTGATTCTCGTTTTTTCCCCCTGGTCTGTGCCCTCCCTTCACCCCCTCCTCCCCTCCCCATCTACAAACACTTTATTTCCATCTTTTCATTATCTCACATTTTTTTTTCTTTTCCCTTATTACCCTTCCCCTACCCATCCCACTTTCCCTACACCTTTAGCTCCTTTCTTCCCATTTCTCAATGTCAGAAATCTAACTAGGATCTTCTGTATTACTGCAGATTATTCACACCAGAGAAACTATTCGGTATTTACACACGTGTGACTTATTTATTTCACTTAGGAGTATATCTTCAATATATATCCATTTTCCTATGAATGAATCTATTTTCTCATTCTTTATGGCTGAGTAATATTCCATTTTATGTAAAAACCACAACTTCTTTATCCAGTTTCCAACGGATGGGCAAATGGGCTGTTTCCAAGATTTAGCTATTACAAACTGTGCCGCTATAAACATGGGTGTGCATACTTCTCTGTGATATGATTCTTTTAGTTCTTTTGGAAAGATACCCAGCAGAGGGATGGCTGGGTCAAATGGAACCTCCAGTCCAAGCTCTTTGAGGTACCTGCATATTGATTTCCATAGTGGTTGCACCAGTCTGCACTCCCACCAACAATGGAGAAGGATTCCTTTCTCCCCACAACCCCACCAACATTTGTTATTGTGTGATTTCTTGATAGCAGTCATTCTTTGTGGGGTGAGGTGGAATCTCAGTGTTGTTTTCATCTGCATCTCTCGAATGACTAGTGATGTGGAACATTTTTTCATATATTTACTTGCTGCTTTCACTTCTTTGAGAAATGTCTGTTCATTTTGGATGCCCATTTTTGAATTGGGTCTTTGTATTTGGGGGCGCTGATTGCTTTGAGTTCTTTATATATTCTTGATAATATTCCTTTGAGGAACAACTGGTGAAAATTTTTTCCCACATTGTAGATTGTCTCTTAGTTCTGCTGATGGTTTCTTTTGAAGTACAGAAGCTTTTTAATAAGATGAGATCCTAGATGTTGATTCTTTGTGCTAGTTCCCGTGCTACTGAGGATTTGTTCATAAAGTCTTTTCCTATGCCAATGTCTTCCAGAGGAGAACCATCAGTCTTGCACAAAGAGTTAGGTTCAAAAAACTGATGCTATTTTCAGTTAAATCTTGAAGAATTCATTTTTTGTTTTTTAATTGGGTGAGTTATATGTTAATGGAAAACTTTATGTAAATATAAGGGATATAATCATATGATCATTTCAGTAATTTTGTTTTCCCTCTTCTCTCTTCTCCATCCCCAATCCCTGGCTCTGGAAAAGAATTTAAGGACTTGGAAGCAGGCTATAAATCACATGAGCTCCACCCAGAGTCACATCTGCATGCAAAATATCCTCAGATAAAAAGGTAATCATAGATATTTGAATAATTTAAATCATTTTTCCTAAATGCACATATTATAGGAACTCTTTATCTGGAGAACATAAATATATATCACTACTCTACAAGCAGTAGGTCAACAGTATTTTGATATCTATTTATTGGGAATCATTCATAGAATGTGAGCCCCAAGTACCTACTGGTACTGGACCTGATTGTTCTAATACTCGTGGCTTTCTTATGAGGTAGATAGGTGGTACAACTAGGGAGAGAATACATTCTAAGAAACCTGGTAGATGCCTGAAACCAATGGCAGTAGTACCAAGCTCTCCATACATTAACCTACATGAGTTTAATGCCTTTGACATCTGAACTAAGCACTTCTGCCCTGTGGCTGTAACTTTTGCAGTTTAAGGAGTAACACCAAGAATACCACAAATTTCTTTGTCCTTCTTGACAATTCCATGGATTTGTTTTCAATTGTAGATCTTAGCAATCCCTGTTACCTTCCCCCAACCCCCAATTTCTTGCATCTAGAAGGTTTATCCTTTCGCTTGAAGCATCTCACTACTTCTCAGGCACATCTGAATTGCCAGCATTGCTATGCTTTTGCTTTAAGGGAACTCTTACGTAAAATAGTTTTCATGAAGACAAACACTGTGATATATCAATACAGTAATAGTGGTTCTGATAACCAAAAGACTAATGGATAGATATTGGAAACAATGTAGATAAGGTGGACAAAGGGAGACAAAAGGATGATTTATGCCCCGGGAAGGACAGCATAAGATTTTATCATACTTAGAATAGTGGTATACAATTAAAAATTCATGAATTGTTTATCTTAGGAATTTTCTATTTAATGGCCAGGCAAGCCTATATTCACAGCACTTTGACAGGCTAAGGCAGAAAGATCACAGATTCAAGCCCAGCCTGAGCAACTTAACAACTTAGATCCTGTCTGAAAAACTGAAAACGAGTGGGTGGGTAGGTATGTAACACAATGTGCAGGCTCTAGATTTATTTCCCAGTACCACATATACACACACAAAAATATCCCACTTAACATTTTCAGACTGCAGTGGACCATACATAACTAATACCATGGGTAAGGGGGGCGGGGGGACTACTGTATTTTGTAAAAGAAAAAAAATTGAGCTTTAGATAAAATAATGTAAGCAGTGGGGCCGAGATTTTAGTATAACCATGTTTGTCTAGCCAAAACATTCTGCTTTAATTCAAGTTCATGTAATTTATAGGAGAAAAATAGTTCAATCATACAAGAAATACAATAATTTGCAACATAGTATCATTTTTCTTCATTTTATAAGTTAATATAACCTTGATTAATAAAATTATTTAAAATTAGTATATTAGCTTTATAGAATTATATAGAAGAATGTAATATCTCTGCCTTTAGACTCTGTAATGTTGATGGTAAAGTGTTTTAGAGCATTGAATTATTTTCTTCTACATTTCTGTTAAGTTCTGTGCTATATTTTTATTACAAATATAAGTCTTTAAACTTATATTTCTAATGATTAGAAATATGACTTGGACTGAGGGTATACCTCAGTGGTAGAGAACTTGCTTAGCATACACAAGGTTCTGTATTCTATCTGAAACACCACACAAAAAAGAAAAATGGTGAAAAAACATGATTTTGTCAATTATTGATATTCATATTAAATATTCATGTATTCTGGTATACAGGTTTGAGTTTGGAGAAAATTTAAAATGCTAATGATTGCTAATGATTTCTGTTGCTGTGGTAGAAAAATAATATAAAATATATATTGGGAAAATCACACTACAAATGTCTGTGTTCCTCCAGTTTCACATATTTGTATATGGTGTTTTAGCTTTGTTTTTATTTTCATATTTCAGGCCACATATCCATGAAACTAATGGAAAGTTATTTCCTTCATGCAATCTACAAATACTGAAGGACCACACTGCAAGTGACCAAATCCACCAATCAGATGAACAGAAATTTGAAAAGCCAAATGGATACAAATTTTCTGAGTGGCTTAATAAAGAAAATTCTGAGAGACCAAGTTTGCCTTTTCACAGTGATGACAGTTCTGCATCTGCAAAGAGAGTGAGCAGTAATGAAATAATCTCACCATCTTCATTGTGTCCTTCACACCTGAGAACTGTTGGGCTAAAACCAGAAACTACTCCCCTCACCCAACAGCAAAATATGATGGAACAATCTTACTCTGTGAACTCTCTGTCCAGGGAACGTATAATTCAGTCAACCTGCAGGTCTGAGGGTTGCCAGATGCCAAATTTTATTTGCCAGAATCAACCACCCCCTTTGCCACCAAAGAAATATGCTATAACCAGTGTGCCACCGTCAGAACAGAATAAATCTATGTCTGATGTCAAACTTCCAGAAGCACTTATTAAAACTACATCTGCTGGTCTTCCAACACACAGTTTAAGGACAACTTTGGAACCAAGTTTAGAAGCAAGTACACATGTGAATGACAGATGTAAAGAAACAAATCAAGTTAAACAGCCTGTTGGCATCACACAAAACTACCCAGCCAACTCTTCAACTTCAACTAATAACTTTCTGGCAAATTCAGATGCAGTTGTTGAAGCACTTTGCCAACCAGAACTAGGCTCCAGTTATGTGAGCCCAAACGAACCAGTTTCACTAACTACCTATTTTTCAGTGGATAACTGTATGACTGACACATACAGATTGAAATACCATCAGAGGCCTAAGCTCTATTTTCCAGAGAGCAGTGACTTTTGCGATGATAGTTCACTATCTCAAAGTGAAAGACAGGTTGGACCTATGTTACATAACAGCGTTGGTTCAAGCAGCCTTCCTGAACGAGGAGATCAGCCTAGCATACACTGTAACAGATGATGAAATCAGCAAGCTTACCTTCCATGCCATTAGAGTACAGTGTATCTATTGACCAAACTGATTTTATGTAGAGATACATAAAATTAAACCCCATAACTTTTTTAAAATCATTAATCACTTTAACTTCTGTGTGGGAGTGGGTGTCTGTGTGTCTGTATCTGTGTCTGTGTGTCTGTCTGTACACACATTTTACTTTTTGATGATCGATTCAGTGGATGATTTAAAATTCCCTTTGAACAGTTTTGGCATGCCTTGAAAAATGGAAAAAACAGATTTGCCATATGTAACAGTTGAATAAAAACTGTCCGGCTATCAAGTGGCTAGTAGACCCATAGTACTCCTGTATGTAAATTCTTAAACTAGGCTATTTGAAAAATGTCAGGTGATACATAGTTTGTCTAGTCAAAGCAGTATTTGCTTCTTGAAGAGCACTTTGTAATGGGTGACCAAAAGAAGGCTTCACCCATTTGTTTCTGACTTCTGTGATAGTCTACCACATATGATCCCTTCAAGTGTCTTTAAAAAAGTGACCCATGAAATTTGACAGTATTTTGGGGAAAATGCCTTAATAACAATTTTTAAATTAAAACATCAGGGTCAGGTAGAACTAACTTTGTTCTTAGAACTTTTATCTTTAGAATATCTAGTTAAATTAGGCCATTGACTATTTTATATATTCATAAATACTACTTCAGCCATGTAAGCTTTAGTATATTTATTTACCTTGTTACATTTTTTTCTAATTTTATATGAAATGTGAAAGGTTTTTATTTTGGTTTACTTTGGGCTCCTAATAACCAGTGTTAGGAATTAAGCTTGGGCCCTCATACTGGGATGGTCACTATTAACTACCAAAATTTCCTCTGCTCTACTCTCACTTGCTCATTAGTTTACCGATTTATTTAATCTTGTAGGTTTCCAGGATAAATTTCTGCCTTTAGATAGAGGTTTGAATTTTAATGAAATGTTTGATCTGGGCATCTTTCCCACTTTTTCTCAAATAGTAATTTTATTCCAACTACCTTCATGGAGAGGGCTATATTTAAAAACAAAAGGAATTTTAATTATTACGGTGAACTTATGAATGAAAATAGGTTACTTCAATTGCCTTATTTCATTAGTTCTCATTTTGTACTAAGCTGATAAACTAATTGTAATTTAGAAATTTTATGTCTGCTCCAGAGAATTGAGAATTTTAGATTTAAAATTTTCTTTACCTTCCTTTATGGACTTCATAAATATAACTTTGTGAATCATTAAACTAGTAAAATTAGTATTTCGACCAGTTTCATAAATTGCATTCAAACATTCTAAAATCTAAGTCGTTAAAAATGAATACTTTAAGCAAAAGAAAATAACTGCTTATAAAAGTTTAACTGTACCCGTTTATCAAATCTTGGCCAAATTTTGTCCTCTGTAAAGAGCTCTCTGCTAGCCTCCTCTAACTATGAGTTGGTGATTATTACTATTCTCTTAAGATAGAAAAACTTGAATATCAAACTAAATTTTAACATTTAAGAAAGCTTATTTTTTAAGTTTTTAGAGTGGAGGTCTTGTAAATAATGTAGTTGTAAAATTGTATTTGAAATATCAATATTTTTAATTGCTGCCTTTATAACATTATAAACTACTAGGAAAAAAAAAAACTAGCTTCCCAAAACTTCTCTATGTAGGTTGTTTTAATTTCTATTTTGTCAAAGTGTTCAATTGGAACTATATTATTTGAAACATATGATTGCTGTACTCAATAGCAGTATCATTATCTTTTCAAATTTCTTAATGTACTATCTAGTTAAAGCCTCCTGAATCATGTATTTTAGTACTGTGCTAGAAATGACCATTTTTTCTGTTGACTCAACACTCCTACTACAGATTCAATATATATTTACTAATTTCATATGTAAAATTTTTACTTCTAGGATGCCTATTTATTTTTATAGATGTTTTCATGTTATAAGCTTCTAATAATTTTTTAAATAATGAAAACCAAAAATTGTTATAATGTTTAACATTATATGTTTTGGTTCTGAATTTTAATATGGTTGGACATTTCTTTGTATTCATGAACTATGTTTCCCTCTCCCATATGGATGTATTTAATGGGAAATGTGAGTCATTTTAAAGTTCAAGGGTTTTTAGAATTTCACTGATGGTAAATGTTATCACAGGGTACTTCTAAGTTAAAACTCCACTAAAGTCTAAAAGCACAGCCCTCCTACAGAATTGGCAAACTTTCAATGGAGAATGAAATAGCAAATGATATAAGCTTTGTGGACATGTCTTTGCAACACTACCAGCTCTGCCCTTTTATTGAAAGCAGCCAACAGTAAGTAAATGAATAAGCATGGCTAATTTCCAATAAAACTTTATTGCCATTGGAATCTAAATTGCATATGGTTTTCATTTGTTATGAAAGCCTTTTATTTTCCAGTCATTTTACAATGTGAAACCTCTTAGGTCAACAGTCTTCCTATTCGAACAGGTAGCCAGCCAGATCTGGCCCAATGGCCCTGGTTTGACTTTGTGGTAAGCACGATCTACATTAAGTACACTCACCCACTGTAAATATTATGGTGGTCTCTCTACAAATGTATCCCTATGCTGTTTAGAGAATATGTATTAGGAACTCTTTACATGCTAAAACTTTGAACAGACCCCTCAAAACTGTTTCTCACAACTGTTAATAAGACAGTTCAAGTGGAATTATTAAAAAAAAAATAATTTTACTTAATTTGAAATCAAGCATGTAGAATTGATAAAAGGATTTTAACAGATTAAAATCATACTGGTTACTCTTTATGTCTGCTTTTGTTGTAGGAAGTTTGCAGGTTTTCTGTGCCCCATTTACACATTTCTTAAATGTAGGCACTGTAAGCAGTTTAATAAAAATGGCACAGTTCAATAGACACGTAGCTTAACATGGGTAGGTTTCAACCCTCATATTCCCACCATTTTTGTATACTATTTACAGTAATATATAGAGGTATATGAAGGACTGGCTCATGTGATTATGGAGGCTCACAAGTCCCATGAGCTCCCACTATAAGCTAGATACCAAGGGAAGTTGGCAGTGTAATTCCAGTCCAAACCTGAAAGCCTGAGAAACAGGACCCTGGTCCAACATTGAAGGCCTGAGAACCAAGACAGATGAATGTCCCAGCTCAGCCAAAGAAAAGTTGCCCTTGCTCTGCCTTTGTATTTCTTCAGGCTTTCAAAGGACAGGATGATTCTCACCCACATACAAATTCTAAACTTCAGAAATACCCTCATGAACATCAGGGATGTTTTTACCAGCTATCTTGGATCTCTCAGCCCAGTCAAACTGACACAAAAAATTATTACACTAAGAACTATCTTTGTTAAACTAGAAATTTTCAGAATATCTAGATGTGAAGTAGACTGGTTTTAGGCTCAGAAAGGTAGTATGAATAAGGACTGGATGTCTTTGTGACCTAATGGTAAGATATGTAAAAACTATTAATCATATTAACCTCACCACCAAATAATTGTATACAATAAAGCCAAATCCAGCTATGTAAACATTTATTAAGACAACATAATTAGCACAAAACATAGGTCATATAATCACTTAATAAACAGTGAAATCCCAGATGCTTCAACTGCACCTTCCAAGAGGTTCTCTTTAGGCAGATGAAACAATACCCAGAAGGTATAATTAACTTTATAGTCATTAGGCCAATTCAAATCCTCCAATATCAGTTACAGACTTGATTCTAGTACTAAGAGCCATTCAGAATCAAGAGAGTATAAAGTTTACCAGACCTCATGTCTTATTACAGGGAAAAGAATAACCCCTAAATATTTCAGACAGTTTATATATATATATCTATATATATATCTATATATATCTATATATA